CTCCCAACGAAAATTGCTGCGTACACAAGGTCTCGAACTCGAGACCTTACTTAAGCTGGAACAAGCCGCTTGCCACTTGATCCAACCCCTCGTTGGTAATATATATATATATATATGTGTGTAGAAAAGTGCATTATAATCCCTAACTTCTAAAAAAAATTAGAATTATAACCTTAATCAACGTTACTTTAATTAATTAAAATTTAATTTAAAATTAAAAATTCATCTTATTAAATATTAATACATGTATTTAAAAACTAATTACATATTCTAACATAATCAATTTTCATATCTATACATTAATATTTACTAAGGTGAATTTTTAAATTTTAAATTATATTTTCATTAAGAATCAATATTTAATAAGGTTGATGTTTGAATTTTGAATTAAATTTTAATTCAATAAAATAACATTATTTAAAGTTGAGATTATTTTTTTAGAGTCGAAAATAATACACACTATTTATATATATATATATGATAATATATATAATTAAATTTTATGTAAATATAGTGTGTAAAATTTGTATGTAAGTGTGTATATATATATATATATTCTCTACTTCACACAACAAACTAATGAAATTTTAATGCATATACAGATTACTAACAAAATGAGAATATTTTTCTTTCACTTAGAGTCATGAATTAGTATGCATACTCTGCCGCGTCAAATTATGGTTAACTTGTCGTACGGCTGGCAAATCCTATATCTTGTAGGTTATACATGGAGAGCTATCACTTTTCTCTAATTTGTCTCCACCCATTTATAAGTTCAAATATGAGATCTTAAGAGTCTCAAGTCCTTGCTCCATCACAAATTTTAACTTTGCAAGACTTTGGATTAACCGCAGAGACAAAGGAGATGAGGAAGCATATTCCTCTCTTAAAGGTGCATTGTGCATAGGGATAGAGTAATTTAAAGGATGATGAATCTGCATGAGATAAGAAAGATGACTAGCGTGGGTAAGAGGTTAGGTATTCAGCTACAAGAAAATGAGGAGGAGGTGGAATCTAGGCTGGTGGAGTTGGAAGAAAGGGAAGATGTTGGAGGGCGGTACTGTAAGGGAATTAAGGTCTGGTTTTTATTTTTTAGAGAGGGCGGTACTGTAAGGGAATTAAGGTCTGGTTTTTATTTTTTAGAGAGTTGGTATGAGTTTAATTTTACTTAATGAAGATTATTTTAATGAAGATTATTTTCTTTAATGTTAGGGGATTAGGGGGTGTATTGAAAGGAAGTGGGGAAATTGGTTAGGGTAGAAAGACCCGATTTTTTGTTTGTACAAGAGACTATTATAGACAATAATTTGTGTAAATTGCTGTCGAATTCGAAGGAGTTTGATTTGGTTATGAAAGAATCGATTGGAGCTGCAGGAGGGTTATTGTGTGTCTGGAACAAAACAAATTTTGGTAAGCAAATGGGGTTTATAGGAGAGAGGTATATTGACATCTCAGGGGAGTGGTATATTTCAGATAAAAGATTTATTGGATATTTATTTAGTATTTTATTAAAAAAAATTTAAAAAATCATTTAATACTTTAGATTTATTGAAAATTTTAACTATTTCCATAACATACTAAATTTTAAATATGATGATTAATAATTTTAGTGGTAATCTTTTTTTATTTTAAATAAAAGATTATAAATACAAATCACTTTTAACACCATTTACGGTTTTTTTTTTTTTCCTCATGATTCACGTCTTTTAATGCCACTTTTCCAATTTCTTCTTTGCCTATTGGGTCGGATTTACATGCATAATTCACATAATTCACATGCATTTGCAGCATAGTTTATATACTTTCTCCATATGAACGCCACTTTTCCCTTGCAACTTTGAATGCCAGTTTTCCTTTTTCTTCTTTCCATTTAACACACTAATATAATAATATAACACTGCATTCTTTTCTTGCAATAAGGTTCTTTTTCCTTGTAAATGGTAAAGCAATTGTGTTTCAAACATATCTAAAAATCAGTATGTCGGCCACATTTCTTGGGTGCCAATCGATTTCAAAACACATAACTTTTCTAAGGAATGAAACGGTGACGCTTCTGGAATTAGTGTGTTCTTAAAAGTTAGAAAAGTTAATTAGCTCCACTCAATAAATGCTTTAAGATTTCCGCAGCATAGGCTTATATGGCTCTAGCGTCGCCCGTGGTAGGAGTTATTCGGTAGAACGAAGTTTCCACGTACTTTTAGTAACGTGTATGTGGGTGTTTGCTTAAGCACACTTAGATTTTGTATATAATGGTGAGGCTAGTTTGCTGGTTTAAACCACACCCACCTCCCTTTTTCTGTTCTGCACTGAATACAAATGATGGCAGCTCTGAATTTTCTTTTCTTGGCTGTTGTGTCACTAGAACTAGTAAAATTGAACCAAATCCGAAAATTCGATTCAAACCATCCGTAATGGGTCGAATCATAGTTCATAGGTGTTAATCTAAAATTTAAAATGACTTAGATTGAAATTACACTACTAGAAAATAGCACATAACCGACAAAAATATGTCAATTATATTTGTATCGTCGACAAAAACTCTATTAATTATAATAAAGTATGGATTATATAGATATAATCAATAGTTTTTTTTGTCAATTATACCTGCATAATCAACAGTCTTTTTTGTCGATTATACAAGCATATATGTCAATATATATATATGTTAATATTTAATTTTCTACTAATAACATTTATAAATATATTATATATTTTATAAATTATAAATTTGATAATAAAAACTTAACACTATCAAATGTAAGATTATTTTTAATTAATATTTTATATATTTTATGTATATATAATAATAAAGTTAATTGTAAATATTTAGTATTAGAATTGATAATTTAATTAAAGTAAATATGTGTATAATATTAGTTAAAAATAATTTCATATTT